CTATCCAAAAATAAATTATCATAGGGTAGTGTTATTGAGGGCCCCGTCCACACTATGCAGGATAAATTTGAATCCGCAACTTTAACACCGAAACCGAAAAAAACGTTTTTCGTCCGCACATGAAAACGGATAAAATGTTTCGCGTCCACACTGAGTCCGATCAGAGGCGGCAAAAAAGCTGAAATTGAGCCTGCGGTGAATTTTTAGACTTCCCGCCATGTCCCCATGACAATCATGACGTCATCGTATTCGAAATTGGCGTTTTCAAATTGTTCCACTCTGGAGACCGTATTCGAAAAAAATCTTTTTCAGTGAAGAATTGTTCCGGATTCGCCCGGACTAGTGTGGACGGTAGGCCTAACCTAATAAATAAAAATTCGGATTCAAATTTATCCGGCATAGTTAGTGTGGACGGGGCCTGAATAACAAAATTACATCCCCTCATAGCCATAATCACCATGATCATAATTCTCCAGCAGACATTGACATTAATGTAAGTTATTATAATGGCCGAAACTTAATGACTTACACCAACATCTGATGAGAATTACTCGGACGCACGGAAATTAAATTGATTTTAAAATATATCCTAGAATATCGTATTGACAATACCTTCCATCTCAAAGTACTATCCTCTCAGTAAAAAAATATCAGRGCTTGTATTCCGGCTATCGAAACATTGTCGAGAACTCTTCACTACGCGTTTATCTGCTTACCCGAAGAAACTGGTAGAAACAAATATCGCGTTTTTGAAAATAACAAAAATATAACACTTAGTGTTTTTATAGTTAGTCCCAAAGCAAATTAAAGTAGCATAAAATTAAATATATCTTGATGAAGTATAACTGCACTGTAAATGTGATATTTTCAAAGCTTTTCGTTTTCCTAGGATGGTTTTTTGGCAATGGCATTTTCTCCCTCTTTGCGGAATGATAACTAGATAAGACACTAGAAGATTTTTCAACGAATAATCCGTTTTAATGAATGAATTACAAGAGGTCAAGGTGTGGTAGAATCCTTGCTTTGCTGTTAAAGGCAGTGACCCTAGGCAGGAATTTCCATAAGGTTCAGTGTCTCTTGTATTTTTGGACAACATTTTAAATTACTTAGCTGCAAAGTATTACTAAGTGTTCGTCTGCCTACTTGGCATTACCTCAACCACATTACTTCTAAAGCAGAATGGGAGCAGTCTGATTGCTGCTCTTCTAAACGGACGGTTTAAGGTCCCGTACAACACAGGGTTAATAGCACTAGACAGATAGATAAGGTAGACATAGGCCATGTAGGTAGAGCGAGAAAAGGATCCTAAGGGAAGAAAAGCTTCAAGTATTTCGACCACAACACATGGAATCCAACAAGCACCGAAGCCTAACACCAAAGCAAACAGCAGTCTAGTGACTTTGAGCTCTTCTGCCGATACTTGTCCATGCAATTGCAAACCGTTTGCGTTTTGGTCCGCGTTGGTACGAGCAGCGTGGAGGTTGTTGTTCGTCGTGTGGTGACGGATTTTTCGAAAAACGGAAGCGTAGCAATAAATCATTAAAGAAAAAGGCAAAAGCATATAGAAAATAAAGCAAAGAGAAATGAATATAATATTTTGATRGTTTTCTTGTATGTACATGAAACACGAAGATCGACCTGGTTCGAAGTGGAATCCGCCTGTACCGGTGACTGGAGGAAGAAGACTAGTCAACAAGGCTATAACCCAGACAAACACAAGAACACCAACCAAAAATTTCTTTTGAAACCATCGTCTAAAGAGAGCCGGTTTAACTACGCAGAAATATCGGTTCGCGGCTATCAAAGTCATGGTATGAAGCGAAACAAATCCCAGAAACATGAAAAGGAAGCCTTGAGTTTCGCATAAAAGATGTCCGAACGACCATTCGCCCTTGATGAGCGTCCCAGTAGTAAATGGAATAACAAATAATGATGTTAACAGACCCGATAGAGCGAGAGAAAATACATAGAGGTTTGTCTTGCTTTGTAACGAAGGTGTTTTGCAAATAACAACAAGAACCAGGATGTTTCCTGCAACAGCGACTAAATCGATTAAAATCAATGAAAGAKATTCAGCCAAGACAACTTCTATTCCCCGACTGGCTAGTTCTTTTCTCATCTCTTCTGCTTTGTCTTTCCATATTGATACGTTTGCTGCCATGCTCAAAACTTCTTCACAAGTGAAATACTGTCTCGAGGTAATTTCTTGAAACTACTTGAACAACGTCGATGGGGACTTTGAGTTTCATCGTGGGGATTGACTAAATATATTCGGGCATAATGAATGTAAGGCTAAACGATGCCCAGCAGTTAGTTATTTAATGAAAAATCATGATCTTAGATGTAATTTTCCAAAATTAAAAAGAGTTTTGAGCTAAAACGAAAGAAATGAAGGAAAAGTAAGGAATAAGAAAGAAGGAAGGAAGGAAAAAGAAATTATCAGTAAGAAATTCCAAAGAGTTCATAATTAATGCGACAACTTGTTCAAAATTTAATTTGCTCTCAGCTTATAGCAATTACTGAACCATCCTAAAATTATCGAAGGTTGTGCTTACTGTTTAATAATTAATCATTGCTCTATGCTGGAGTTCGGAAGACACAGGAGTAAATGTGGAGATGCAAAAAAGAGAATCAAGTGCGGCGGAGTGCTATTGACCTCGCCTCTAACCTTTGGTATCTCGTTAATAGGTCTCTCCTATTATCCCAGGGTTTTTCTCCAGGTTCTCCGGTTTTGCTCCCTCCAAAAAAACCCGGTGTGATCGATCAGTTAGACGTGTGATCAGCCCAGAGGTTGTTTCATGCAGGGTTTGATCTGTGAGTTCGCCGTTCCCTGACTTAGATCAGTCTAGAGGTTGTTTCAGGGTTCTATCTGTGAGTTAGCCATGCCCTGACTCAGATCAGCCCAGAGGTTGTTTCAGGGTTTGACCTGTGAGTTAGCCATGCCATGACTTAGATCAGTCTAGAGGTTGTTTCAGGGTTCTATCTGTGAGTTAGCCATGCCCTGACTCAGATCAGCCTAGATGTAGTTTCAGGTTATAGATAAAACTGAATTCGAATTTGAATGTAAGTGGTGGTATTAATTGACGGCAACGAGGTTGTTCTTACGGCAGCACGAGAAAAGTTTAACAGTTGCTTTTCTAAAAGGTCGGTTCAGGACACCATACAMTACAGGGTTGATAGCACACCCAAGGTATATATTGGCCAGCATGGTTGATCGGGAAAGAGCCCCTCCAGGAAGGATCGTATCTGCTAACTCAATCCCAAACCATGGAATCCAACACGCGCTGAATGCCACCACCAGGACGAACAGCAATCTTGTAGTTTTGATTTCTTCAGCGCTACCACCAGCTGCAGCATGAAGGCTGTTGTTGGTGTTATGTTGGTGTATTTTACGAAAGACCAATCAATGCCATGGTTTGAAGCGATATCATGCCTAAAGACAAAGAAACAAAACTCTTGTATCTGACACACTAGACTACCAAAGATCCACCTGCCATGAATCAGCACTCCAACAGTCAATGGCATCACCAACAGCGCCATCAGTGTATCAGATACAGCTAGGGCAATGATATACGTGTTGGTTCTGGTCTGCAGAGAAGGAGTCTTGTAGATCACGTAACATAATGTTATGTTGCCAACAGCAGATATGAGATTGATCAAAACCATTAAAGAGC